GGCCTTGTTGCCCCTCCCCCCATTGGGCTGGGCCCATGGCTCCAGCCTGGCCAGGTCCCCCTGCAGAGCCCTCCTCCCCCCAGCAGACCCACACTCCCCCCAGCTCGGTGCCATCTGCAAACTTACTGAGGGTACACTCAATCCCCTCGCCCAGGTCATGGATGAAGATGTTAAACAAGACCGGCCCTAGGACTGAGCCCCGGGGGACACCACTTGTGCCCGGCCGCCAGCTGGATTTAGCTCCATTCCCCACGGCGCTCCGGGCTCGGCCACCCAGGCCGTTTTTAACCCAGCGAAGAGTGCGCCCATCTAGGCCATGAACCGCCAACTTCCTCGTTGCCTGACTTGTATGGGGGCCTCACCTTCCTCATTGCCCAAAATGTACGGGGGCCTCACCTTCCTCGTTGCCTGAATTGTACGGGGGCCTCACCTTCCTCGTTGCCCAGCTTGTACGGGGGCCCCACCACCTTCCTCGTTGCCTGAATTGTACGGGGGCCTCACCTTCTTCGTTGCCCAACTTGTATGGGGGCCTCACCTTCCTCATTGCCCGAATTGTACGGGGGCCTCACCTTCCTCATTGCCCAACTTCTATGGGGGCCTCACCTTCCTCGTTGCCTGAATTGTACGGGGGCCTCACCTTCTTCGTTGCCCAACTTGTATGGGGGCCTCACCTTCCTCATTGCCCAAATTGTACGGGGGCCTCACCTTCCTCGTTGCCCAAATTGTACGGGGGCCTCACCTTCCTCGTTGCCTGAATTGTACGGGGGCCTCACCTTCTTCGTTGCCCAACTTGTATGGGGGCCTCACCTTCCTCATTGCCCAAATTGTACGGGGGCCTCAACCTTCCTCATTGCCTGGTTTGTACGGGGGCCTCACCTTCCTCATTGCCCGGTTTGTACGGGGGCCTCACCTTCCTCATTGCCCGGTTTGTACGGGGGCCTCACCTTCCTCGTTGCCCGGCTTGTACCGGCGCCAGATGCGCACCGTCTTGTCGTCACTGCAGGAAGCCAAGCGCTCGCCGCTGCGGTCGAAGGCCACGCTCCACACCGTCGACTCGTGGCCCTCCAGCGTGGCGCAGCACACCCAGTCGTCCTCCTCCTCCTGGTACAGCTTCACCGTGTCGTCGTAGCTGGCCGAGGCCAAGAGCTGAGAGGGAGGAGAGAGGAATCAGCGAGGTCGCCGCTCTCCCAGGCCCCTTCCCAGGATC